CGCCCAAGGTACCCGCCCGCTGGCAACCCAGACCCTCAGTACCTGCAGGCGTGTACAATGACTTGATCAGATGCGGGTAGCCGGGAGCCGGAGATTCCACGTCGTCCCGGCTGACAGACGCAGGAGTGGTGGGCTCTGGAGGCTGCCTGAGTTGTAAGGACATTTCGCTTCCCGATCCGTTTTCCTTCTCCTCCAACGCAAAATCTTTCTGTTTTGTTTGCTGAGCCTTTATTAACTGCGACAACAGAACAGCGAAGGCGCTCTGCACGGCTGCCTGGGCAGCATCGGCCTCAGCTTTAGGCTGACTCAGCTGAGCGGGGGGCGCAGGGGGCTGCGCGACGGTCGGCTGTTTGAGAGGCTCCTGTTCCGGCGGTGGTGGCGGAGGCGGTGGCTGCTGCTGTTCTGACTGTTTTTCACCTGCTGACAAAATTCCAGCAGGAAGATTTATTTTATTTAGTTGCTGCTGAGTCTCTGGGTTTACCTTAATATTCAACACTTGGGCAAACTGTGCCAAACTAACACTTGTTTTAGACTGTAGCAGGTTTAGCAGGATTGCCACTTCATTCTGGTTTAACTGCTGTCCAGTGCTTGTTTTCGCTAAAGACAAAAAAGGTGGTTTTCAGTATTATTTAGAACCGGCATATTTCAGAAACTCAAAAGCAAGACTAATCTAGCACGGCTGACACAACTGGCAAAGCACGGCTTTGGACAACACAGAAAGGGAATGCTTTTATGGATCAATGGCCTTTGGGGGAGTATCTCTGGGAAACGGAATGGCAAGATCCCACATAACGCAAGCGACTCCCAAGGGGTGCGCACACACACTTGGACAGATGAGGAACATCCACGCTGCAGCTCAATTTTCCACTCTACAACTGAGATGGAGCTTAAGGCCACCTGCTTTAGGCAGCTGCAAGATTTCCAATCCCCAGAAAATTTCCTCTCTTTGACATATCACATCCCTCTGTTAAAAAGGGGCCATCTGCAAAATGCATTCCCAGCCATATTCCGGCCCCTTCCGATTCGGCATCTGGATTCTAACACCTGCCCAAGTGCCCGGGCTCTAGGTGACCCAGAAGCTTGCACAAGCAAGTGCGGAGTTTGAAGGACACCAAGTCAGTCACTGAAGAGCAGGAAAAGGCAGGTTTGTGATTCCTCCAGTGAAATGGAGTTTCAAAGAAGAGGAGATGATGATGATGCAGGGGAACGTGAATAAGCAAGTCAGAATATCAAAGTAGTTTCTTAGTTTCAAACACCCATTGTGGTAGTTTATTTTGAAAGGAGAAGTGAAACAGCCTGGATTTCAACACGCCCTGTGAGTAGATGACTCAGAAAGCAGCCAAAAATTAGAAAAATGAGCGTGTGTGCCTGCTGGCAGAGCCCGGATTTTTCTAACCCGGTTCAACCCAAACAGATTCTGCCCTATCCTATCCCTGCCATTCTGCCAATTCATCAATGTATTAATTCACAGCAGACTCAAAGCCACACCCGAAAATGGTCACACGCACAAAAATATTAGTTGCCTTGTAAGATGAAGAGGAGCACAGCTGGAAAGTACTGCAAACCCCACTACCCTACTTATGGATGTGCACCAGGATACAAGCACTTGGAAGCTACTCAGGCAGGATCCAGGGACTGCAATGATGTTATATATTTATATAAATATAAATGTAAAACCACTTTTATTTGGCAATACAGAAAAAAAACCCATAATTTTTCTTGCCTGGCTCTCACTCATATGTCATGCCTAACAGCTGATTTGGTAACATCTGAGCATGGTATGCTCAACACTTGAACTTCTCTCAGACTTTCAAGTGAAAATTCAGCAGAAAGATGCAAAACAGGGAAACCGATCTATGTATTCCATACTCTTTGTTTAGTTTTGAGTCTGTTCCAAGAGGAAACTGTACTCTGGACAACCTGGTAGTTTCAACCAGGACAGAATCATTGAGCCCTACACAGCTCCTGCTAAACCATAAGATGCAGTAACAAGGGGTCCTGCTCATGAATCAAAACATTAGCAATTGATCCGAGGTGTTCTTAACCTTGTCTTTTGGGGTGCTAAAAAGCAAATGCAACAGTTTTGAGGCATGCATTTGTACATGGAGGTCTCTAGGGTGCCTTGTTGATGAGGCTGCCTAAGCTGCATTACAGCTTCCAGAAGTATTTTGCTTAATCCAGAAAACACCTCTCTGCTGAAGTATGCACCGCTGAAAATGAACGTCTTCTACCCAGACACATTGTTCTGTGTACATATGGGCAGAGAGCAATACAGGTCTGAATGATTCCTTCTCTATTTAGCTTATTTTGCACGGTTAATGTTAATGACTAATAACACGCAGTAGTCTCTCATCAGGCTCCCTGTTATAAAAGCAGAAAGAAAGTAACTCCTATCCCTCAGACTCTTAAAACTTCCACACAGTTTTCATTTGCAGGGGAAAAAATGTAAAGGGCTACAGAAAGTCATGCTTGAAAATGCTGCCAAACCTTTAGCCTAAACCTACGGAGTGGCAGAAGCTCACAGCTGGCTTACAGTGACAGGCACAAGAGGCAGTAAATTGCAATAAAATAGGATCAAAACCCCTGTTTTCTATGTATCTCCACACAGAGTGTTTGAAGCTCTGCTCTATTGTTAAATGAAGAGTTGATTCGGTTAACATTAAAGAATTTGTGCAAAGCCTTTGATACTGT